GTTTGGGGTGGTGGGGAATCTGTATACATTTACATTATACAAAAAAGATACTAGCTTTCATATGCTTTCATCCATTCATTCAAAAATATTAATTGAACACGTAGTAAATGCTAGGCACTATTGTAGGCAATCAGGGTCCACTCTGAACAAAATGGCAAAACCCCTGGTCTCTTGGAGCTTATATTCTACATGAGAAGGGAAATAGGCAATAAACTCCTATTTATTATGGCAGGAGAAAAATAAAACAGAGTGAGGGTATAGGTTGTGTCCAGGAAAGGAAGGGGAGCAGGGTAGGTTTTGCCTTTTTAACCATACGGTTAGGCTAGACTTTACTGATAAATGACATTTGAGTAGAGACTTGCAGAAAATGAGGGCAAGGAGCAAAATTGATGCCTGGCAGAAGAGTTACAGGCAGAGAGAACAGATGAAGATCCTCGACTGCTCCATAGACTTAAAGAAGTGAGAGAAAGCCCGAGTAGCTGAACAGAATGAACAAGTGAAAGAAGGATATGAAGTTAGGAGATGTGGGACTAAATCATGGAATTTCTTGGAGGACATTGTAAGAACTCTGGCATTTACTCTAGATGAGATGGAAAACCATCACTGGGCATTGCATGACATGATATGTTGAGGGAGCCAAGCCGGATGCCATGCACAAGACAAACTGAGGGGGTCAGGGAACCAAGGAGAAGGCTATTTCAGTTGTCTAGGTGAGTAATGATGGTGGCATAGACCAGAGTGGTTGGTGGAGGTGGTGGGAAGTCATCAGATTCTGTATATACTTTGAAGGTGGGGTCTGCCATATTTGCAGACACACTATATATGGAATGCTAAAGAAAGAGAGCAGTTAAAGATAACTCTAAGGTTTCTGACCCAAGCAATAGCAAGGATGGAGATCCTCTGATGAGAAAGACTCTATGAGGAGCTGTTGTCAGGGAAAATTTGTTGATTTCAGTGTGTTAAGTCTGGGATGTCTGTTAGACAACCAAGTAGAGAGACTGAATAAGGAGTTGGGGAAGTCATTGGCAGATAGGTGGGATTTAAAGCCATGAGTCTGGATAAGAAAATGAAGGTAGCTAAAGAATCAAAGTCATACCAATATTTATTAACAGAAAGATGAGAAACCAGTAAAGCGGTAAAGACTGAAGTAGAACAAAGAGAGAGGTATCCCAGAAACAGTGAAGAAAATATATCAAAGAGGATGAAATAATAGTGTCCAACCTGATACATGAATAAGGTGAAAACTGATTGTTGGATTTAGCAATGTGTGGAGGTCATTGATGGCTTTGACAGGAGTCATGTAGGTTATAGGTTGGGACAAAAAGCCTGATTGGAATGAGTCCAAAAGAGAATGGGGACAGAGGAATTGAAAACAAGTATAGCCAGCTCCTTCGAGGACGAGAGAAAGTGTGTAGGTGGTATGTATTGAGAGATGTGCACTGGGGGCTAGGGAGGCTTAGCTCTTCGGACTCAGTACCATCTAAGGCATGATACATGAAATAGTCCAACAGCATTTCTTGCTCGAGGTTTCAGAATTAATCAGTTATCTCAGCAGCTGTCAGATGTTTCAAATGTCCACATTTGAGCAAGATGCCAAGCACAGTTTAGGCAGCAACGAAATTGGTGGTCTTGGCCTCTGTGTGTCACTGGGAGCACTCATGGATCTGGGCAGAGACCACTCAGAACATCAAGGCATTTCTCTTTATCTGAATTTAGTCCACTCCTGGAAATACATTGGCTAGTGAATTTCCAGAAGGTAGAAGTCCTTCGCATTGTTTTAAATGGTGGTGGGGAAACACCAGAGCCTTCCCACCTCATCTAAAAATCCCAATGAGTTTCTTTAAGTATCACTACAACACTCTTAGACACATGGACCCCTGGGTGGCTCAGTTCAGCGTCTACATTCAGCTCAGGTCATGATCCTGGGGTCCAGGTGGCAAGGAGTACCCATAAATGGTATTCACTTGAAAGGCAGTGCAGGCTTTAGCATCAGACTGTCCTGGATCCACAGCCTGACTCCCCCATTTATTAGCTTGTAAGATCTTGTGGAAGGTGGTTAATCTCTATGAGACTCAGTTTCCTTGAATGGGAGATGGAGATAATAATACTTAAAGGGTTATTATAAGATCATAATATGCATAAGGATGCCTGGCACACATATTAGATACCTAATTTAAAAGAAACAGTCACTATATCCATTAGTCTACTAGTATGTGGTATAAACAACAGAAATTCAAAGAAAAAAATGAGGGGGTGCCTGGGTGGCTCAGTTGGTTAAGTGTCCCACCCTTGGTTTCAGCTCAGGTCATGATCTCAAGTTCATGAGATTGAGCCCCATATCAAGCTCAGCATGGAGTTTGCTCAAGATTTTCTCTCCCCCTCTCCCTCTGCCTCCCTCCCTGCTCAGGCTCTCTCTCTCTCAAATAAAATCTTTAAAGAAAAATGTATAAAATAAACTGAGTACAGCCTATTTGTTATTGAGGTAAGAAGAGGAAAATGAGACTAGTTATTGTCATGCACAAAAAAAGGAATGGGAAGCCATGTGTTTAAAAGGCAAGATGTTTTACTGTAAGTTACATTTTTCTCCTTCATCTTGGCAGACCTTATAAGAAAGCATTGCCAGTCTGTTAAATGTTTTGCTGATTGTTTGATGATGTTAAAATCAAAAATGAATTCCCCCATTTTATTCATCCATAGCAGTAATAACTCATAAAATCCTTATATAATAGCTATATCCTATACACATAGAGGGCCAGCCCAGTGGCTATTTTCAGCCATATTTGTAATCTGCTTTCTGGAGGTCAGCATTACACAGTTGGTCACCATTTGTCCCAGGAGAAGCCCTAGTGCTTTTGTGGCTCTCAGGGCCCGATACATCTCTTGCCTTTCCTAGACCAGCATTCCTTATTCCCTAGGGCTGCGCTTCTGCCTCATCATCAGGTGGTCTGCCTTGTGCTCAGTCACCTAGACCAGGCCATGCTCTATGTCCCTGCTCACCTCCAGTCATTAGTTGTCCAGGCAATATCTGTCATGGATACTGAGCCACTGCTGGAGGTACCGTCATGGGGGAAGAGAAATTTCGTGGCCCAGACTCCACCAGAATCCGCAATCCCCAAGTTCAGTCTCTGAACGCTACCCCCAGATGGACTTCCTGGAATACCCAGAAGGTTGACCCGTGCCTGAACCATGTCTGGCTAGCTTCAGGATTCAGGTCTTCAGGATTCAGGTGGGGAGAATGAAAGAAAGGAAGACCCCTTCAGAGAATGGGGGACACTGACATCAGTCAAGGGAGGGTGAGTAAGAGTGTAGGCTCTGGAGCCAGACTGCCTGGGTTTGAACGCCAGCTTTTACCTTTGCTAGTTTCGTGACCTTGGACAAGTTGCTAAGCTACTTTGTTCCTAAGTTTCCTCACCTATAAAATGGAAGTGATGACAGTACCTACCTCATAGGTTGTTATGAATAGTAAGCAAGTTCCTACAGTGACAAAGTGCTCAGAGCTGTGCCTTCCACATATTAAGTGCTAAGTAATTATTGATGATGACGATGATCAGCAAAAGCCTCAAGAAGAGGGATGACAGGCTCCTTAGCCCTGGCATCTGAGGGCTTTTAGTTTGACCCTGCTTCTCCCTCACGGCCCGTGCCTCCTGCCCAGACCTACATCTCAGCCACCATGGTCTGCTTCACAGCACCCTACATCACTCTGCCAGATGTCACTTCTTTCCCTCTGTTTCCACAGCCTTCAGAGTGCTTACTTTCCCACCCGAGCCTCCACATTCTACTTCTGTTATGAGCCAACTTCTCCATAAAACTGAGAAGACACGGATCTGTGCCTGTATCATGGCCTGTGAATGTTTGCTTCCTCCCTAGACTCAAGTTGATTAAAGGCAGAGACATAATCCTCCTCTTCATCCCACGGTACCTCAGAGACTGCCTAAAGTAGGCACTCAGTGTGTGCAAAGTCTTTCTGCAGGATTGACTCTTGTCATTGATGTCTGTGACTGAATAATACCCGTTTCATAGAGAACTCATGAGGATTCTCTTAGATCTCATATGTAAATCACATAGCAAAGTACCTGCCACATACAATTGTTGTAACTATAGTTGTAACTGCTGCTGGCTTTTTTTGGAGGGAAGGATGTGGCGAGGGGCAGAGGGAGAGAGAGAATCCCAAGCATACTCCACGCTCAGCCTAGAACCTGATGTGGGACTCGATCTCATGACCATGAGATCATGACCTGAGCCAAAATCAAGAGTCTTACACTTAACTGACTGAGCCACCCAGGTGCCCCAGCTGCTGTTTTGTTGGATAACAGAAAGACCCCAGGTTTCCCAGCTAAACAAACATGGACTTACAGACCTGCTTGGTCACTTAAAAGCTGCAAGGACTGTAAATTGTGGTTTTCAACTGTAAATTGTGGTTTTAATACCTATCTCAGTGCAAAAAGGTAAGCAATCAGTAAATATTAGATTCCCCCTTTTTTTTCCTCCTCGGTGGCTAATTTTGTGAACTGCCTGGATTTACTTCTGGTCGCAGGTTCCTCATCTGTAAAATGAGAACATTGAAGTAGATGATCTCCATGTTCCTGCCAGATCTAAATGTCAAAATTACTGAATTCATCGTCTCTTCCCCTTAAACATACTCATTCTGCATCCCTAAGAAAGGTTCTTTCCTTGATAACTGTTCAGTGCTTTAATATGTTAAATTGTTTCAACCCTTGGTCTCTCTCCTCTGTCTCAGTCTCTAGTGACTATAGGGTGGCCCAGACCCTGAGACCCTTCAGACAATAGGACTGTATGTGCCCTGCTCCCCAGGAAGTGTGCTGTGCCCTCGGTCCTGGCTGGGCCTCTCTCACAATGTGGTCTAGTGAAGCGTGCCAAGCGCCCAGGGAGGGGTAGTCTCCAGCTCTCCCAGGGGCCAGGAAAGGATGTGCATCTAAAAACAAGTGTGGGGCCAGGTGGAGCCTCGCATTCATGGCCTTTCCTTTCCTGTTCTGCCACAGACTTTGCAAATGGGCATCAAACACTTTTCTGGACTCTTCGTGCTTCTGTGTGTGGGCTTTGGTCTGTCCATGCTGACCGCCATCGGGGAGCACGTCGTGTACAGACTGCTGCTCCCTCGAATCAAGAACAGGTCCCGGCTGCACTACTGGCTCCACACCAGCCAGGTGAGTGCCGGCCACCTCGGGATGAACCCTCAGCCTTGCCGCCGATGCCGCAGGCCAGAGCCCCACGGCAGACAGGTGACCAGCTCCCAAGAGAACCAGGCAGCCTAGACAGCTCTGTGCAGAAAGTGGAGTTCCCTCTAGCCCATCAATACACTTTCCCCGTGAAGTAGGCTGTCCTGTCATACCCCCACCTGTCTCATCACCTGCACTGCACCTCCCACGGAGGCGATGGGATTGTTTTTAATCTGGTTTCACTTAAGTGACAACTCGAGGGGATGGTGTGAGAGATTTATTTCCGACGCTCTTTTCCAGCCAAGATGGAAACTCATTCAATGAGTGTGAAGTCCCTATTTCTCCCTTTAGATGAACCTAGTGGCCCCTGTCCTGTCCCCATTTTCAAAGGCCCCGAGGGAGGAGGTCAGCCGGTGCCCAGGCCCAGCTGCACAGGATGGAAGTTCAGTCCCCAGACTTGGGTGTGCTCAGGCCCCGGGACCCCGGAGAGCATCCAGCCAGCACCCTGTTCAGGCGCGCTCCCTGTCAGTGGTGAGCAGGGAGAGCCGGAGAAGAACAGAAGGGACTCTGGCAGCAGGAGCAGCTGCCCCCAGGGAAGCGGAGGCCGCAGGTGCCAGCCTCATCTCCCCACCGGCAGCTCCCTCCTGTCTCTGGGGGCCGTGCTTCTGGCCCCTAAGGCCGCCCCTGCTGCCTCGGCTACAGGTGACCTCCATCGGGTGCTAACGTAACTAGCAGAATTCTCTGGTTCTTCTCTTCTTTGTTTTGGCTGCTGAGATGTTAATACCTAAGTTTTTGACTCTCCTTTAGCAATCCTACAAGGCCCTTTGCCACACAGTAGTTGTGACGAGTCTTCTTTGTATCACATGCCTTTTTATGTCCCAGAGCATTTCTAAAGCTTCCTTCAAATTACTCTTTTTCCCTCTAGATGGAATAATAGCTTAGAATTAAAATTTGGTTCTCCTGAGATTTAGGACTAGAGGTTGATGTTTTCAGGCATCCCTAGAAATGTGTTTAAAGAGGCCCAGATTTGTAACAGTGAGATACACTATTAAACTCAGGTGGTACTTGTCCGCAGACTGTGTGTCTCTAATGATCTCTACCTGTGAATCTGTTTTTTCTGCCAGAGGTTACATAGAGCACTAAACACATCATTTGTAGAGGAAAAGCAGCAGCGTTTCAAGACTAAACGTGTGGAAAAGAGGTAAGAAGGTGGCCAGCACCAGGTGTCTTTATGTTTGTAAAAATAAAAGTGGAGAGATATAACTGGGACTCCCTACTCAAAGGGGAAATTATGTATAAATAATTCAGATCAAATCAGGACCAAGTTGTTGATAATATAGTCAGCAAAAATACATGTGGTTTCAAAGAGAAATAGAACAGAGAAGGAAAAAAATGTATCTGTAAATACATGGACAGGGAAATGCAGTACAGGCCCAGGCCGTGGTCTTGAGAGTCACGCATCCAGATCCTAACCTGTCAGACCCTTGTCATATGTGTGCCATAGCAAGGTATTTCTTTAACCTCTCTGTGCCTCCATGTCCTCATTTGTGAAATTGAGATAAAAACAGTATCCACGTTCTAGAGATGCTGCAAGGATTAAATGAGATAATACATGCAAAGCCCCGGAAACAAAGCCATTTTAGCTCTTGTTACTGTGCACAGAGTACACGCAAGCGTGAATTCACAAGGACTATAGGCAGATCGTTTCATGCTGTATTGCCTTTCTGGCATGGGTCTGCTCCCCACTCCTTTCCAGCACTCCTAGGAATATTTGAAATAGGCAGTGGATGTGTTCTGCTTAATCCATTTCCTGGCACTCTTACTGCAAATTCTCCAGAAAAGCATCTCATTGATAGGGAGTAACAAGCATTAAATGCCTAGCGGACACCTTCCCCACATGCAGCCTGTGGGTGGCTGTTGTGGCTAAAGAGGCCGGCAGAGTTCAGTCTGGCCTCTGTTGCCTCCTGCCTGGGGCGGCCCTCCTCCTTCTGTCTCATGCCCAGAAGCCTCCGTTCAGGGTACCCCCCTGGGCAATTCTGCCATCGGTGGCAGATCTTCAGCTCAAAGCTTGGCTTCCTGGGTAATTCTGAAATCTGCCACACACACTCCTCACTCATAGTAGAGGAAAAAGGAGTAAAAAGCGTCATTCTTCTTCATTGTTTATACCTCCTCTGGAGCTGCTGTCCCCTTGTCTCCAGTTTGCATGTCAGAATCATTTCCGTTCTCACTCAAAGCCTCTCTTTCCAATCAGTGAGCACCCCCGCCCTCACAGTCTGTGGTATTCCTGGATTGTGTTGCAGCCCTGTCAGCGACAAGTGGGAGACTAATCAGGTCACAGCTGTTCTATGTCATGCTACGTATATTTTTTTCTGTAATTATTTTTTAACACAAATTTTCAGCCAGAGGAACACAAGAAGACATAGCAGTGAAGACGTCATCTCATGACAAACCATTTGTTTACCAGCCGTAGTAGAAACAGGAAGCCCAGTGATCCCATTTCCAACCGTGATGTGATTGCCAGTCACATCTCTCTCACCTCAGCTGAGAACCAAATGTGTCTGTCACTCGATGTACCCACTTTTCTTGGCAGATTCCCTTCTGGAGTGCCTTATTTTGAGGAGTTAAGGCAGAACATGCCCTCCTGGCTTATGTTGGGCCCACACTTCCTGTGCCACGTCCCTTCTGCCCAGCACCCAGCTGTAACCTTTCAAATGCAGTGAGTTTTTGAGGCCCCACAGCTGTCATGTCTCTTCTGAAGACTCCAATGGAGTATTGAACTCCAAGGCTACAGAATTGGTCTGTGGAAGCTCATTTTGCTCATTTTTAGTGCCAAACACAGTTCACCCACTGGTCACCTTACACACTAAGGCTGAGGAAGGTTCGATAGAAAACAGAACAGAACACTGAAGAGGCCTCCAATTAGACACCAAATCTGACATCACTGTCATCTTCTATTCACAGGTGGCCCAGAGCCACATGTTGATTACCAGGGCACTTGTTATGCTAGCAACTTGAGTCTGTCATGGAATCCAGCTTCTGCTTATTCTTCTATATTCTATTCCCAGATATTTGTACAAAGCTGTGGAGAAAACCAGACTTGCTAGCTCTGCTTACCTAATTTCTGTGGTTGCCTGGATACCAGGAAAATGTGCAGATGCCCTACTCCCAGGTTCTCCCTGTGAATCATCCTGTGCTACTAGAGTTAGGTCTCCTGGTTGAAAACTCTTTTCCTCTTTTTTGGGAAAAGTATCTATGCAAATGCCTATGTCTGCTACAATTCGGCATTCCTCCAGCGTGCTCCGTATTTATAGAATGAATAAAACAATAGATAAGTGGGTGAATGCAGATAAGTGTGGCCCTGAGGACCAGCGATGGTGGATGTGTGTGCACCTGCTAGAGAATAAAAATTTCTTTGAGCTAAAAAAAAAAAAAAGAGAGAGAGATGAAAAACTATTAACATGTGGATTTGAGGAAAGGCTTAAAGTTCTGGGCCATGATACAAAAGCAGATGTTGCTCTTTTTCTATTTAAAGCAGAGGAAGAAAGTAGATATTACAAGACACTAAGCATAGTCTTTGGTTTATTCAACCTGGGATTTCATGTAAGGTTTGGTCTATACTTTACCCCACTGGGTTTCCAATACACCCCCATTTTCCCTTGCCCCAAGATATAAAAAAATTGTAAATCATGTAACACACACAAGACTATCAAAATTTTTCAAACTCAGTTGGAAGAGATTTTGAGGAAAAAATTAAAAAGAACTGTACAGCTTGAAATAAAATTATAACTGCACCCTGACCCACATTTGAAGCCAGCAGAGCTGTAAGTGGGTTCACTATAGACTCTTACTGAGCCCAGGACACATGAAAGCTGTGCTCTGGTGCGCCATCCTCCCCCAGCCCCCCACCCCCGGCCACTCATCATATGCCACTTAAACTGTGAGAAGTGTAAAGGAGCTGCAGGGGAGTTAGGAACGTGTGTTTTAATGGCTTGGGGCATGTATCTTAGTTTTTCCCATGTGAGAAAATTATCTCAATAACTTAATTTTCTAAATTAAGAACTGTTTTCTAAACAACAGCAAGTGCAGTTTACTGGCCTGGGCCGGACTCGGCTGGTCTTGGCTAGATTTGCTCACATGTCTGCAGCCAACTTGTGGGGAGGGGGAAAGCAGCTAAGGGTTGGCTGGTCTATGGCTTAAGCTGGGTCCACTGGGAAGACTGGGAACTCTCTCTACCCTGTTACCATCAGCACTCGTTCATATTGCAGCAGCAGAAGCAGGGTTCTGAGAGGGACCCTCAGGATGTGCACGAGGCTTCTCTAAAGTTGGCGTGGAACGCCCACCTGCCATTTCTGCTGGTTGGGCCAAAAGAAGTCAGGAAACCAGACTAAATTCCAGGGGGAGGGAAAGCCAGACTTTCTCCCCTTGAATCCTCCTTGATAAAGGTGAGCTGCAAAGTCATATTATCAAGGGACATGGGTGGAAAGGAGGAACAAAGGATTATGGCCATTTCTGCAGTTACCCCCAGGACAAAATGCAACAGAATCCTCCTGTCAAGTCCTTGTGTTTCTGTTCTCAGCCATATAACTGAACCAAGATTTTATTAGCCCTCCCTTTGCCCCTTCCCTTCTAGAAAGAAAGAGTCCAGAAATAAAGTCTTGAGTCAGTTACATGGATGAGAACAGAAACACAAGGACTTAATATATGGAGTGTTTCTACATAGGTTTGCCCTGTGGTGGATTGAAGAAGTAATAACCCTGCTCCTCTTCCAATAAGGCTAGAAGAAACCCGCAGCTATGCTGCTTAGGGCTCTTTTCTATTCTTGTAGCAAGAAACTCATCTCACTGCATCTGACTGTCCAAGCTTCTTTCAGGCACCCGAACGATCCCCCTTCTCTTGTGCCTGTCCAGCGGTAACTCCGGCCGTCTGCCAGCCATCTCTCGGAGGTGGGGGCAGGTGGTTTGATGCAAGCCTGGGAGAGGATGTGAATATGTTTGTATTGACCTTCATTATTCCAGCAAGAATTTGAGGCTTTCCTGGGGTTTCTTTTAAAGCTCCAGACCTGAGCTGTCTTTCTCGACCCACATAAAATCATCCCTATAATGGAAAACTTTTTGCTGAACCCTGCAGCTTGTGTTTTTATTCTCCTCAAACTCAAGTAGTGAACTTCAGGGTAGTCCTGTGGGACCGAGGATGAGCCATTTTATAGCATCAGCCGGCTTCTGCGTAGAGCCCAACAGGTGAATAAATAGGTTCTCACTTTTACTGAAGCACCATTTTGTAGCCAGAGAGTGTTTCAGCGCAGCGCTGTGCTCTGAGCCTCACTGGCAGGAAGGGAGTGGAAAGGCATCCAGGGTTCTTCAGAAAAGAACCCTCCAGAGGATACATCCATTCCAATTTCAGGGCAGCAGAACACTTGGTAAGACCCTGAACTTCAGTTGAAAAGAATTTTAATGGCTCTTTCTGTCTCTGTGCCACTCCAGCAGGCAGTCTGTCCTCTGAATGCATATCCTGCTCTGTATTCACAGTTTGAAGCGGCCCACAGCTAGGGAGCAGCACTTAGCCGCAGAACGGAAGGTAAATCTAGTGTCTTTGTTTCCTAGGTCCAGTGTGGGACCCCGTCAGCTCACGGTGTGGAATACTTCCGGTCTGAGTCAGGATAACCAACGAAAATACATCTTTAGTGATGAGGGAGGACAGAACCAGCTGAGCATCCGGACCGACCAGGACATCCCGCTCCCTCCAAGGAGAAGAGAGCTCCCTGCCTTGCTGACCACCAATGGGAAGGCGGACTCCCTAAATGGAGCTCGGAACTCAGTGATGCAGGAACTCTCGGAGCTCGAGAAGCAGATTCAGGTGATCCGGCAGGAGCTGCAGCTGGCTGTGAGCAGGAAGACGGAGCTGGAAGAGTATCAAAGGACGAACCGGACTTGTGAGTCCTAGCTGACCGTGCTGCTCCCCTTCCCGGTTCCCGGCATTCCTCTGAGCCCTTGAGACACTCTGTACTGCTCTTTTGTAATTGCTGACCAAAGTGTAGGGAAGCGGAGGTCTAGGTCTCTCTTAGAGGTCAAGTCTGCCGGTCCTAGACTAAAAATCAGTCATAGCTCTTCCCAAGCGGACTCCCTAGCTCTGCAGGGTGGGGGTCTTTCAGAGCAGGAATGTAAGTTAGTCAGGAGTGAACTCCGTGGCAAGGATCTATGAATGGCCCCGCAAAGCTGGCTCCTCCCGGGGTGCCGTGCTAGTAGTTCTGGGTCTCAGCCCTTTCTCTGCACTCTCACCAACGAGAAAGAAAAATGATACTCAAACCTGGTTTTAATCTTAGGATAGAACAGGATTATCCAGGGTTGTGGCTTTTGAAACAGTTCCCACAACTAGATTTGTTCCTACGTTCTGAACCAGGAGCCAGATAAGAGCCAGAGGTGTGGGTACCTAAACAACCAAGCCAACTCATTAGCATACAGTGGACCAGGGATTGACTGGATCGTGCACGAGGGTCCCGTGTCTCCGACACCACCCTGACCAACATTTAGTAGGAAGGGCTTACATGCCACTGTGAAAGGGGACAGGGATGTGGTGAGCGAGAACAGAGGACAGGCAGAAGAGGCATTAAAAATGTCCACCATCTTGAAGAACAAAAGTTCTGGGCCAGAAAAACAATTTGGCTAAGGAAGGAATAGGACTATACCTCTAATCTAACTAAGCTTCTCGCCTACAGAGTATGCCTTTTGTAAAGGAAAGCAAAGCAGAGCAAGGACGCGGCCTTAGATGACACTGGACTACACCTGCTCATTGCCTGTCCAGGGCTCCCAAGCTGGCACTGTGGGTTAAGTGAAAAGGCTCTACGACCACATGCTAGCCCCTTTTCAGATCAGCAGTTACCTCTTAGCTTTGGGAATCCCTGAAGCAGACCTCCCCTGCAAACACCACAAGCTTTAACATTTGGGATAGTGCCCTGTGCAGTCCACCTCTGTACAGGTAACTACCACACCAGCCTCCTCTCCCCACACCTACTCCTTCCCAAGGGGCTGTGACCAGGTGTGGTCCCCTCCCATTCTCTCCCAGGCATCTCTGTCCTGGGCGCAGTGGTGTGGACATGCATGCAGGAGGGAAAAGCCACAGGGAACTATGGAACAGCAGTTCCCAGTGCTAGTGTAGATGGGAAGCATCTAGAAACCCATTAGAATGCTGACTGTCAGGGCCTTTTTCCCCAGAAGATGGCATGAGGTGGGGCATCTGGCTCAGAAGCCTGTTAACCAGCTACCCCAGATGACTGTCACGTGTGATCTAAAAATTACTCAAGAAACACTGCTCTAGAAGAATGGCTGCTCCAGGCCTAGGGAGAAGTTAAGAGCTTTTTGATAGGTTTTGACATTTTAGCACACACCTGCTGATTCACCTTCCGTACAGCCACTCCCACCCCTGAAAACCACTGAGGACAAGACTTCCTCAAATATCACTTACTCTGCTCTGGCCTCATCCATTGGGATGCCCACCATGAATCCACGGCACTGTCCCAACCACTGTGTTCTGTGACGGCTGCACATCGTTGGAAAGGCTCCGCAGTCACAAAATTTCCCCTGCATTTCCACCAGGAGGTACCCAGTCCCCCAGGGAAATACAACACCTTCAGCTGAATTAGCTCACACTTTGGTTAGTTGTCCGAGAAGCCCTGGGGTGGATGGAGGCCCAGAGAAACTGATGGGGGAGGTGAGAAGCTTCTAGTTAGACTTCCTCAACTTTGCAGATGGAACAGTGAGGGAACAGGGGGAGCCCTGGAAACAGAAAGGACAATCCTGCTTTGAAATGGCCTGTCCTCCCGTGTTCTCCCCCAGGCCCTGACCTAGATCTGCAGCTGCCTTTGGAAGACGATGCCTCGCAGCCACGCCCCCTCTGCAGCCGCTGAGTGCTCTGCCAGCCTGCTCTGCGCGGCCTGAGGTACTGAGGTACGGGCGAAGCCCTCCACCGGACAGCCAGGCTCCTAACGTACACCGGCACTTTTCTAACGCAGCTCCTCCTGACTGTACTTGAGAAGCTGGCTATTTAAAGGAACCCAGAGGTGAATTCTTTTGTAAAGAATCCTTTTGTAATGCAATTAACTACCCCTTAATGTATCTGTTTTGTAAGTTTGGATTTTTGTATATTGGGTTTACCTTAAGCTTCTCTCCTGAGGCGCGCTGAGCAGGGGTGACCCGCCAGGCAGCCCTGCCTGCCCCCGAAGCAGCCGGCCGGTGCGCGGTGCGCGGCTGCCCCAGGATCTTCCGAGGAGCTCCTCCGCCAAAATCGTGGCCAGGGTGTGGCCCGCGGCAGCAGGAGCTGAAGCAGGCTTGCTGCCGGCAGCATCGCTTGAAATGCCTCCGTTTTCTGGATGAAGAGAAACCTCCGAGTTGCTTGTGGTGGAACGAAGCGGTCTCAGGTGGCCGTGGTTGTCGTTACTGGTAGTAACTGAACAGTGTATTGCAGTGTGTGAAACAGTGTGTTGTGTTTTATAAAAAGAGTTCATGAAATGGTGGGTCCTTTGAAAACTTTCTGTTCTGCTCCACTTGTCCTTTCCGCTCCCCTTGGGCTCAAAAACCACAGAGGTCCAAGTCTTCAGGTAGAGGGTGGTGGTTTAGTGAGGAACAAAGAGGGAAGGGCTGCTCCCTCGCCGCCTCTTCTGGGCTCCTCTCTCAGGAGATCAGGAAGGTCCATTCTTTTCCAAGCTCTGGTGCTGGGCAGCCAGACAACCCGATTGTGTCGCACACCCCACCCCGTTTTCCAGGGGGACGTTCCTGGCACAGGAAGCACATAATAAAATATGGCGGGGTGAGCAGGAACAGATAGGCTACGTGCGTCTTGTACATAATAGTAAGGGCCCCAGAGTACGGACGCCTCAAGGTAGAGGACCAGCAAGGGGATCCCTCCAACAATTAAAGACGAGTTGAAAAAACAGGACAGACAAGTGAGGCGGCCACAGGGACACAATCAGTTGAGGTCTTTAACGTGCCTGGAGGGGACTCCATTACTCATGGATCTTGCTGTTGCACAGACCCCGTGCAGGAGCTGCTGCTTCCGTGCCGACCAGAGAAGTGGTCAGTGAAGCAACTGCCTAGTAAAACCCAGAGACATCAGGGCAGTGGGCTTCTTGGTGTTGGCCCTGGGCCTAGTAGGGCCTGGGAGCTAATAAGCACTTCCTTGGTGTGGTAAAAGAATGAAGGGAAAAGAAACTGCTTTAGAGCCTCTCTTCTTCCCACTCATTTTTGATAAGTAAAACCAGAAAATCCAACCAGTCATGGAAAGAACTTGTGTTTTTGTCATCACTAGCTATACCGTTGAGTTACTCCTTTCTTCACCCACCTATGCCATCCACCTAATGCAAGAGTCCCTCACTCTCTCTCGATTTAGTTCCCAATCGTTTTATGAAAACAATGTACTTAGAAGTATTTTCTTAAGGTTTGTAGAGTGTTTGCTTTGTGTCTTCATTTTAACGTGTGTGCAATCGCTCCAGTCCAGGAAGAGCGGAAATGCTGTCTTGTGAGCATGAAGTGAACAGGCTGTTTTGCTCCAGCCACTTTTCTCGTACAACCATGTGGATGGACTAGATGTTCTCAGGTCTTTTCCATCTTCAGTTTCTATGACTGTGGAATAAATGTTCAGATAGAAACTTCATTTTCTGATGTATTGCTGGCATTGTCTTGGGGGATTCAAATGTGGACGTGGTACCAGCCCCTTCCTCACAGGAGACCCACTAGGACTTACACTTGTTTCCTTAGTAGAGTCGATGTGGCACAAAACATGCTGAGAAAACTCAGAGCCCAGGCATCACAAAGTACAATCGAAATGGCCTTGTCTGAAAGACATTTTAGGAAAAGCCACAATACTGAGAGATCTCTAAAAAAATTCTGCCCTGGCCACCCTCATTTAGTAATTCAACCACCATCTGCTACACAGCCTGTGTTTACGTGCCAAGTGCTGGAGACACAACAGTGAGTAAGATGGGCATGGTCTCTGAGCTCAGGGACCTTCTCACAATCTGTCCTGTTCACAGCCTGTCGACAGACAATACTATAGTAGCTAACACTTATTTCAACTTCATTAAAACTCCTCGACACAGGTTCTCTAGACCTACTCTGCAGTAGATGAGCTAGACCTCCAGTTTACAGATGGAAAAACTAAGGCTCAGGGAATTATGGACGTTGTCCAAGGTCACACAGCTGGTAAGAGAAGTAGCAGAGACAGATTCACACACAGGCAGTTAAATTCCAGGAGACCGATTTTACACTGTCAGGATTCTGATTGCTGCCTTACAACCCCTCTCCTTCTTCCAATGCCCCCTCCAGTCTTTCCGCTATAGCACCTCCAGCCCATGCCTCAGCTTGGCCCCCAGCTCCGCAGAAAAGGAAGCCGATACACAAACTGTACCTGCATTGCCACGTCCACTGCATTCAACACCATAGCCCCCAAGTCTCACAGAAACAGCTATTGTAGGTGCCTCTTTCGGCTTTCTGGCCCAACCGAGAACGGGTATAGATACAGCTGGGAATCCCAGAGTGCTCCCTCGGTGTCAGGCTCACTGCGGTTTCTGACGCACCTGCAGTTATAGCAGCTAGCCGCCTTGCCAGCGTGAACCTGCTAGCAGGATGCATTTTTCACATACGTTCTTTTGGATGAGACCCAAGTCAGATCTCATACAAATATAAACCCACTGTAACCTGATTCAACCACCAACATACCCGAGGTGGTTTTGCATCATTCAGTCACTCCTTGTTTGGATGCTCATTTTGCGCCTGGCATTGGGCTAGCTGCTGGCGAGAGAAAGAAAAAGTTTCTGACCCCATGGAGCTCAGTCCAGCAGGGAGACACAAACTGGCGAAACAGTGTGGCGTATATTCTGATAAATGCACATCAGGTATTGTGGAGGCAAAAAAGACACTGTGTGTGTGTGCGCGCACGCACGTACATGCAGCGGAGAAATTGAGAGAAGGGTAACAGGCACCCCAGGTAAAAGAAACAGAATGTGCTAAGTTCCAGAGTTGGGAAACTACAAGAACTGTAGGAACATCAAATAACTCAACATGACAGAAACATAAGCACAGGTGGGTAACAAGCTGTAAGGACGGCAGAGAGAAAAGCAGAGGCAAGATCCCGGTGCTAAATTGGACGTGTATCCCAAAGACCACAGGAATCTTTAAAGGATTTTAGGATAAAGAGGGTTATAGTAAAAGATCAAGGTCCTCACTGCTGGGTGGAACTGGCTATCATTCACATGCATTCAATTTGTTTGTAGGATACTGAGCAAATGAAGTTAACTTTTGATGCCTGGGCATGACTTGGCCATGACATCATTTTAACCAGGACAGGTAGACTTAGAAATAAATAAACACATACCATCTAGAGTCTAAATATGTTGATCTCATTTTTTCCTAGAAATAAGGAGAAAATGTAGAAGAAAACTTGCTCTCTCAACTTATATGCAATAATACAAGTTAATATTTTGAGCATTTACTAGTTACCAGGCACCCTGCTAAATGTTTTGTATATATTGACTCATTTCATCCTCAGTACAATTCTATAACATAGTTATTATTTTATAGATTAAGAAACTGAAACAGAGAGCTGAAGTAACCTTCTAGTAAGAGGCAGGGCCAGACTCATCCGAAGTCTGACTTCACAAGAAACAGGTTTAGCACGGTGCCTGCCATCACAACAAATACCAAATGTATGAACGGGCTGGGCTGTGTGAGCAAGGAGAAATCTAAGATCCCCTTGGTTCAGTTCTACT